TGAACTCCAGATTGCCCCGGTTGCTTTGTTACAAGATACCCACCCTAAGGGTCCGTGTGCCCAAATAGGGTCCCTTTAAGGGTCCCTATAAGGGCTCTATACGGGTACCATAAGGGTGTGGGGTTTAGGATTTTATGAGTTCATGTACCCAAATCCTATATACATTGGCCTTAAAGTATTCCTTATATGGGTACATTGGGCCCAAAGTACATACTATTTGGGTGCATGGACCCTTAGCGCCACAACCTAGGACACCGGACATGTTTTCCACACAGATTTCATTCGATGTGTGGGGGAACCTCGTCTTTTGAACTCCAATGTAGTTCGTGAGCCTAGTGACGTTCTTGGTCCCATCAACCCAGGCTCCCATACGTCTGAAACTCCTGACTGTAATTGTCGGGGGCCTCAAAAGGTAGGATGAAGGTAGGTGGGATATTCCCAAATAAGAGTCTCATCCCTCCGAAATTGAAGCTCAGAGTCTGGCGCCAGAATTAAAGTCATAACTGCTCAAACCCTACAGCCCTGAACGCGAGACCGTGGACATCCTAAAACCACCACACCCTCGAGCGCTGATCCCTAAAGGGAACTCCAGACAGTTGGACTATGGTTTCAGGGTAGGATACCCTGTAATTTACCATAAAGGGTTTAGGATAATGATATTCCAACTTTCTGGCTTCTACTGTAAACACCCAAGCGGCCTTGACCTCATATTTTTGACCCGTATATAATCCCGTCCAGTTAGATCTCTTTAAGAATTTCTTTCAGGAGTGCACCGGGCTCCGTGTAAGCCCTAAACCTTAGACCCCTAAACCCCTGAACCCGACTGTTTCTCAGGCCGCACAGTTCATGATCGCACACAGGAGCCTTGGCAATGCTGGGGTTCAGAGATGCAGGGCAGGGTTTTCGTTTGTGCTTTGGGATTTAAGGTTTGTGGCTTTGGCGTTTCAGGGCTTCGAGTTTTCAGGTTTGGGCTTTAGGCTTTAAATTTCAGGGTGTTGGGGGCTTAAGCCCTAAGCCCTAAACCCGGACTCGATGTAAACTTGAGTGGCGCATGTCACATGTCTCCGAAGTGTTACACCCATCGTCCTAGCATAGGGGCCTAACAACTAGAAGAGGGTTTTGGGGTATATCAGACTATACTTTCAGGTTCACGGGTAGCTACAAGTGGGGTTCTAAGTCCCCTAGCACAGGATATAAGTATGCTTACCCTGCTTATAACCCCACTTACAACTACCCCTGAACCGCCAAGTAATCATAATAACCCAGAGGGTCCGAAGTAAATACCTCTCTAGCAGAATGTAGAGTTTCTGTGAATCCCTATCATGATTTGGTAAAGTATCCCCATATCAGTACCCAGGACCCTTTGGGTAAGGAACCCCCTAAACCCTAAACCCTAAACCCTAGGAACCCCTCGCACTAGTGTGTCTTCTTCGCGGGACTGTGGGGCCCCAACGCGCAATACGGTTGATGATACAAATTCAGATCCCTTTTAAGGATCCCTATAGATCCCTTTAAGGAACCCTATAGATCCCTATAGATCCCTTTATAAGGGCCCCCCTTTTTGTTGGCCACAAATTCCGGGGGGGCCTTTAAAAGGGATCTATAGGGGGTACCTTTTTAGGGGTTCCTGTAAGGGACCTGTATGGGGTTTAGGGTTTTGGGTTGGTGATATAAACCCTGCATTACCTTAAAGGCCCTAGACTATGGGAATTATATATATATATATATATATGTATATATATTCCTTATTTCAACATTATGGGGTAATGGAGGATTTATATCATCAACCGTAATATTGGTAATCATCTAGGTCCTACATTAGCTCGGTTTCGCTCAGAAGTCAGGTGCGAGAGAGGGACCGGTTTAGGGTTCAGGGCTCAGGAGTTCAGGGGTCTAGGGTTTAGGGTTTTAGGGTTTACAGTTTGGGGTTTAGGGTTTTAGGGTTTACGGTTTGGGGTTTAGGGTTTTAGGATTTAGGGGGTAGGGTTGAGTCAGTTTGGGTCCGTAGCATTGCAAATGCTACGAGTTCACCCCCATAGGGTTCCAATAACGGCTCCCGTAAGGGTTCTATGAGGATACCATAATAAAGGTTAAGGGTTTGAGGGCCCATGTACAGTGGGGGCTGTTTCTCAGCTTCCCCGCTACAGATCATGGAATACGCCTTATTCAAGGGGTTTGAAAACTTTGAAAGTCTTTTCGAGATCTTAACCCACATGAAAGGAGCTTCTGCGTGCACCTTCATCGCCGCTGCTGAATGCGCCAGAAGAGTTTTCCTGGCATCTGTTGAGTGTTCAGGTAATATAGAAGTCTGCATAGTTAGCATGTTATTCCTCAGGGTTCCTTTCTCACTACACTAACCAAAATCTAAACCCGAAGCCGTAAACCCTGACCCCCTTCTAATGCCCTGTAATTAGAACCGTTAAAGGGACCTGTAAAGGACCCTTGGACCCAAAACGATGCTAAGACCTTAAGCCCTTAACCCAAAAATCCTAAAACCCGAAGCACTATGCATGAACCCTAAGGCTCCCAGAGGGTTCATGGGCTTTCTGGGGGAAGTGTTTGGTCTTTGGGGGCTAAGGTTTGGGATTTCACTACGAGGGTCCAGGAGCCTTAGGGTAGACCCAAAAATCCCAGAGCGCCAAGCCCAAAACCCCAAACCCTGTGTTTATGTAATAAAGGCTTTACCTCGGTCCCGAAAAACCGACTCTCCGGGACTTGGACCCTCAGGTCCATGTACCTAAATAGTATATACATTGGCCTTAAAGTAGTCCCTATATAGGTACATTGGGGCCAAAGTATATACTATTTGGGCACATGGACCCTTAGGGTGAAGGAAGTGATAGCACGGGAGGTGTTGAAAAGCGTTCACGTAAGTCCAAACGTTAAACCCTGAACCGAGTAAACTCCAAGCCGTTTAGGCCGGATTGCCCGGGAGTCGGAAGTCTGCGGTCGTCTTGTTGTTTTTCTGTTTAGGGTTTAGGGGTTTAGGGTTTAGGGGCTTGGGGTCAAGATTTTGCTTTTGATCCAAAGGACTTCTAAGTTGAAGGGTTTAGGGTTTAAAGGGTCGGGAGCGGTAAGCCGTAGGCCTTGAACCCCAAAGCGAAAGAAACCGTTCAGAGATATTTCGGGCTTTGGGGGAGTATCCTCTCCATGAGGCCTCTGTCGACCGACCACTTTAAACTTTAGAGGGTTTGGAATTTAGGGTTTAGGCTAAACCCTAAACCCTACACTCCTAAACCCTAAACCCTAAACTTTATGGTTTAGGAGCCCAGTTTCCAATAAGAGAGCCCAAGACCATTTAACAAAGGAGTACTGGGGGCTTCGGAGTACCATGCTTTAATACTTTTTGGGACCTGTTACTTAAATATAACCAAATATGGAATGAGAGTCTATACTTTTTGCCCCTAATTACTTCAACGCCCAGAGTATACAACTTCAGTCATGTGAAGGGTATACTTGGGCTTCCAGGTGACACAGCACGCTGCCAGTACCTACAGTTACATAGCAGGCTGCGGCACCCTTAATCCCTATGTAGAATGTCTTGTCTAGCCAGACTACAGTAACCTACCAAGGAAAGGGTTACTAGGATCTTAGTGTTATCCGGGTACCTCCCCTGAAGTCCTTCCAACAGGAGGCGGACTTGTCATACCGAGCGGCACGAGGTTGTGAATCACAGTCAGGGGAGAATCCAAGGGTAAAAGGAGGGACCCTTAATAAGGAGCCTTAGGTATATACCCTTAATATAGCTGTTATATTCCCATTATATAGCCCCATTGTAGGGTCCCAGGGGTCCCTATTAAGGGTCCCTCCTTTTCCCCTTGGGGAGAACTTCAGCGCTAACGGCTACACCACGAATCCCATCGAGGCCAAGTTGGCGATTGGAGAAGCAGTATAGTGAACCCCAGTAAGTTGGGGGTTCGGGTTTGGGATTTGGGGATTTGGGGTTTAGGGTTTAGGGTTTGGGATTTAGGATTTAGGGCTTAGGGTTTAGGGAGCTATAGTGAACCCCAGAAAGTTGGAACATGGATTTAGGATGATTAGTGCTGGGATTCCCTCTACTTTACCTTAAGGGCATGAGATAATGATGTTCCAACTTTCTGGCTTCCACTGTATGTAAGCTGGTTTCTTCGGCACCGTGCTATGCGAGAGACGTTGGCCTGTGATGTGAGCTGCAACGAACCTTCCTGCATGAGACGGGTTGCTTGAATTACATTCAGATTCCCTCTAGCGGCTCTAGGGTTATGTTTAGGGTTTTGGGTTTTGGGTTTAGGGTTTAGGGTTTATGTACTTGATTTGGCACCTGCTTTCGATTCGGGTACTTAGAGAACCCAGACCTATGGGAGGATGTACTTTAAATTATCTGAGAGGTATGCCTCTGCCTGGCAATCCAGAACCATTGGAATCTTCTCTGCGTGACAGGTCAACTGCGCCACCCACTGTGCCAGAAACTGATGCCAGAGGCTGTTCCCAGAGACTCCAATATCCCTTAATTAAGGAATATTCCGTAAATCATATTAAGGATCCTACTGTAATTTAAGGAACATTCCTTAATTAAGGGATATTGGAGTCTCTGGGTTGCTTCAGATCGTGGAGCTTTGGTGACTCTAGTGCAAGCCCTAAACTGAAGGATAAATGCTGCACCATAATAAGTATGGCACCGTTTCTGGCCATTCCAGACAGCTGGGAGCCCCAATTCTTCAGAAGTCTCACAGCTCGGTCCAGGGGGGACTTCTTCGTTTTTGCTTGTCCACAGCCGAAACCTCGCGACTTGTTGCAGGAATGCTGGGTTCTTGTTGAGGAATTTACTTTAAGTTACGGTAATAGGGACCTCTGGTAAATAATAAGGTTTCTGTATTATGGTAACTTAAATGAAATCCCTAAACACGAGCCCAGAATGGGATTGCCGGAGCAGTTTTGATCCGTCCTCAGAGTCCGCGATTTGCACCATGTCAGGCTCAACGCTACAAAAAGTGTAGGTCCCTTCTACTTGGCCCAACACCATGGGTGGCGAGCCCAGCAAAGAGGTTGAGGGGAGGTTGGCACGCCAAGAGGAGAAGCTCAAGCAGGATTTCGAGCTTTCGAAGGAAGCTTTGAGGGAGCTGGACCAGCTAACTCGGGTCCCGCACCTTCTCCTTGAAATCAGATCCATGGGCTTTGTAGAGATCCAGGGCAAAGATACTGGAGGCATCTACCAACGCCTGGACCAGTGGCTGAAAGAGCACTGGAAAATGCAGGACAAGCAGGAAGACCTGATCGAAGTTTGCAAAGAGGAAGAAAATTGTGGGTGCTGTGGCTATAGCACCACCCTCAAGGTTTGCAAGATGGAGGAGCACCACCGCTTGTGTGACAAGAGCTACACAATGGGTCCGATACAACCGGATGGCATCCCAGCAAACCCCCACAAGATCTACAAAGACCGGTCCAGTGTAATTGATGGGGAGAACAACATGGGCAAGCTGACGATGCAGCTAGCACATTTCATAACTCGGGAGTGTGGGTGGACACTTCAGGTTTGTGATGCAGCGAATCTGGGGCGATGGGGGGACATCCGAGAGCAGCAGATGAAGTTTAAGGCCCCTCACCCCCTGAGCATGATCGCCCCGTTGGTGATGGTTGAGTTGCGTTTCGGGTTCCCGGACCCTTTCGGTGTCCGTGACACAAAGAGCTACATCCACGTGAATGGTGTAGACAGCGATGGCATCTTCGAGAAGTTGCGCAGCTTCTTCCAAACATGGGAGGCCAAGGAGGAGGATGCTGATCCAGGTTACTGCGACATGAAGTTCGAAACCTTTGCCTTGAAAGAGCGAGGCGTGCAGGGAGAGAACAACATGGGGCAGAAATCCATGGAAGTTGTTGCTTTCATGGTGAAGAAGTGTCAGTGGTCGCTGGTGTCCCGCAGCAACGGCAACTACGGGGAGGGTGGTGGCATGCGAGAGCAGCAGCTGGTGTTCCGCAAAGACGAGTTTATCCAGCACGGGTCAGATCACGTCATGATCGAGTTTCGGACGCTTGGCTACGTCGAGATCACCGGCCTGAAGGATGCAGAAGACCTGAAGCCGCACCTGGCTGAGCACTTCGAGAAGCAAGAGTGCCATAAATACAGCGATTATCCTAATGAGAAATTCTGCGACCTGAAATACAAGGTCCCTTCAGGTTGGTTCTACCTCGAAGGCTTCACAACCAACCTGGGAAAACGGACGATGGACTTAGCTGATTTCCTGGCATCTCATGGTTGGGCCTTGGCACTCTCCAACGGAAGCAACCTGAGTGTAAACATCAAGGAGCATCAAGTGACCTTCACCCGCAACCCTGAGAAGGCATCGGCACCTTTGTTGATGATCGAGTTGCGCACCATTCCCTTGTCCCACTCTCCTCCGAAGTGGCACAGTGCATGTCAGATCATTGGGCCCGATACCAATGGAGTCTAGCCTTAGCTGGCGCTATGGAAATTTCTCTCATTGTTCCTATAGAGGTACCTATTTGCAACTACCTCTAGGGGCCCCAAACCTACAACCCAGACGGAACGCTGAGCCCTAAACCTATACCCCAAACCGTAAACCCCAAACCCGTTTAAGGCCCCAAAACTACAACGCAAGGAGTCTATGGGCACTTGGACCGCTTCATCCGGAAGTACATGGGAGGACGTGAGGACAGATTCGGTACTGCCCCCACTCAGGAACAGTTGGGTATTGTTTTTTATAGATATATTAGGCCCTTAATAGTAGCCCTGCTGCCCCAAACCCTTAAACCCTAAACCCTAAACCCAAAGGACAGACAGGGCGGGAGCTACTGCGATAAGTTCTACACGTGCCATGCCTTTCGCCTGAAGCCCGCCAGTGCGGAGGAGCTTTCGATGGGAATCTTCGTCATCGTTTGGTAAGATTTTGCATTGTTATGGGTACTAAACTTCAATAAGGAATAAAGACTCCATAGTTGGGTAAGATTTTGCGTTGTTGTGGGTACAAAACTTCCATAAGGAATAAATAAAGATTCCATAGTTGGGTAAGTTTCTGCATTATTATGGGTGCTAAACTTCAATAAGGAATAAAGATTCCAGATATTATCCCAGCCATGACCTAGGAAGGATGAATGGAGAGAGCGACCTCGGGAGGTGGACCATGCGCCTCTGTGACTTCCTGGTGGATCATGTAGGCGAGTGGGACCTGGTCACCTGCAACAGCGACAACGCGGAGGCCCTAGACCCTAAACCCTAAACCCTGAACCCTGAACTCTAAACCCTACAACGCGCCCAGGAGTATGGAATCAACACCACCTCCCGGGAGATGCAGATGATCTTTCGACACCGCCCAGGCGGTCGACAGGTCTTCATGTCGGTGGCCCAGGTAGCGCCCCGGGGAAGGCCGCCGTTGGAGCCTCCGCCCTACTGGAGTGAAGGGTGCCTGTCAGGGGAGGTTGGCCACAAGCTCATCCCAGGCACCCCCGAGGAGCTGCAATGGATGCAGGAAATCCTGGATAAGACCTTCAAGAACAAGGTGACGCGTGATCGCAAAGATGGGCATGCGTTGGCAGATCGCTTTGTGGCGGTCCAGTGCATCCGCAGCGAGCATCCTGCGATTTGGGATCGCTTCGTAGGCCGTCGACAGCTGTTGTCTCAAGCCGGAGGCTCGGATCTTACCCCAAAACCTAAGCCCTAAACCCCTAAACCCTTAAACGCCTAAACCTTAAACCCTAAACCCCTAAATCCTCAACCCCAAAACCCTCAACGCCTAAACCCCAACCCTAAAACCCCTCAGCCCTGAAGGTTCGAAAGACTTCAGCCCCCCAAACCCCAAACCCTAAACCCTAAACTCCTAAGCCCTAAACCCTAAACCCTAAACCCCAAACCCTGAAGGATCGGAAGACTGCAGCCTCCCCAAGACCGTGGCGGCCAGCCGAGGTCTGGCTGAGAGGTGCCTGGATGTCTCGGGAGCCAATCCTTCAAACGACGCTGTGTCATAGCTGGGTAACATTTTATACTATAATATCCTATAATATGCCATCACATACTATAAAAGACTATGACATATTGCATGTTTATGGGTACTAAACTTCAATGAGGAACAAAAGATTAGATTGTCAATACTATCCCAACCATGACTGAGGAAGCTTACTTGCTCCATGGGACCAACCCAACCTCGGCTGTGGCCATCTTGAGCAACTCCTTCACCGTAGCTTGGATGGCGAGATTTAGGGTTTACGGTTTAGCATCTATAAGGGTTTAAGAACTTTTTGTCTTTATAGACTTTGGTCTATGGTGGAAAGTTCGAACTTCTTTGGGCCTGGTTCTTGAAGAACAGAGGTAGATTTTGCTGGGAAGAGCGCTGGCACCATGTTTGGTCCTGGCATCTACCTGGCCGAGAGCTCGACGAAGGCGGACGAGTACGCCCAGGACGATGCCACTGACGACTATGCTGGGCTCTATGCTGTCCTTGTCTGCAGGGCTCTTCTCGGGAAGCCCTACGTGACCGAAGAGCCCGGTGATTTTCGAGAGCAGGTGAGGGTTTGTCAAAAGTGGGGTTCCTTAACATAGCACGGCACCTAGTATTTAGGGTACCCAAACAGGGACCCTAACTTTGACAACTACCCAAACCCTAAACCGTTAAACCCCAAACCCTACACCCTTAAACCCTAAACCTTTAAACCCTAAACCCTTAACCCTTAAACCTTAAACCCTTAAACCTTAAACCCTAAACCCTCAAACCAGAGGTTCTCAGCGGAAACTTTGGCCACGTCCTTGGCGACCGCGAGAAGGCCGTGGGCACCTTCCGGGAGTTTATCTTCTTCCACGAAGCCGCTGTCTACCCGGAGTCTGGGTTGAGGGGTTCCTGTTACGGTACCATCAGAAGCGTTCCTGTAGGCTTCCATGAACGGATCTACAAGGGGTTAGGGTTTAAGCTATCGTAGTGGGGACCTATAGTAAATAGTCTGGTTTCTTTGTTGTTGTAACTCAAATTACATCCCGCAACAAGAACCCAGGAGTATGCCGTTTTCTACCGGAGGGAGAAGGATGGCCGGGTCCTTCCGAAGCCGCAAAGTGAGATGGCGCCTCGCCCCACGGAAATGGAAGGATGGGATGGGAGCATCTGACCACTTTGCATTGTTTCTCACCCGCCATCGATAGGCAGCATTATGCCGCCATTCGATGTTTGTTCAATTCGTGTGCATTTCAGCGGTTCCGGGGGAGATCATTTTCGACAGCCTTGCTGCAGGCCTGCCAAGTACATTCGAAGTTTGTTCAATTCGTTTGAAATCGGTTCCGAGGGCGAGATCATGCTCGACAACCTTGTTGCAGGCCTCCTCAATACATTCGATGTTTGTTCAATTCATGTGCATTTCAGCGGTTCCGACTCATTTTCGACAGCCTTGCAGGCCTCCCGAATTCCTTCGAAGTTTGTTCAATTCGTGCGCATTGCAGCGGTTCCGAGGGCGAGATCATTTTCTACAGCCTTGCTGCAGGCCTCCCGAATATGGGAAGGCTCCGTGAACTTGTTTGTGCGCCTTGCACTCTTGAACATCCGTTGGACTACGCTGCTGTACCGTGCGTCATCTAAAACATTGTGCGTCACTGACTCTGCGACTTTCTCCAGATTTTCTTGGCCGAGTAACCCTATAGCCTAAGCCACGAACTATGAACCCTAAACCCCAAACCCTAAACCCCTAAACCCTAAACACCGAACCCTAAATCCTAAACCCCTAAAGCCCCAAAGCCTAAACCCCTAAACCCCTAAACCCTAAACCCCGAACCCTAAATCCTAAACCCGTAAAGCCCCAAAACCCCAAAGCCTAAACCCCTAAACCCTAAACCCCGAACCCTAAATTCTAAACCCTAGGCTTCCCTAAAGCCCCAAAACCCCAAAGCCTAAACCCCTAAACCCTAAACCCTAAACCCCGAACCCTAAATTCTAAACCCTAGGCTTCCCTAAAGCCCCAAAACCCCAAAGCCTAAACCCCTAAACCCTAAACCCTAAACCCCGAACCCTAAATTCTAAACCCTAGGCTTCCCTAAAGCCCCAAAACCCCAAAGCCTAAACCCCTAAACCCTAAACCCTAAACCCCGAACCCTAAATTCTAAACCCTAGGCTTCCCTAAAGCCCCAAAACCCCAAAGCCTAAACCCCTAAACCCTAAACCCTAAACCCCGAACCCTAAATCTAAACCCGTAAAGCCCCAAAACCCCAAAGCCTAAACCCCTAAACCCTAAACCCTAAACCCCGAACCCTAAATTCTAAACCCTAGGCTTCCCTAAAGCCCCAAAACCCCAAAGCCTAAACCCCTAAACCCTAAACCCTAAACCCCGAACCCTAAATTCTAAACCCTAGGCTTCCCTAAAGCCCCAAAACCCCAAAGCCTAAACCCCTAAACCCTAAACCCTAAACCCCGAACCCTAAATTCTAAACCCTAGGCTTCCCTAAAGCCCCAAAACCCCAAAGCCTAAACCCCTAAACCCTAAACCCTAAACCCCGAACCCTAAATTCTAAACCCTAGGCTTCCCTAAAGCCCCAAAACCCCAAAGCCTAAACCCCTAAACCCTAAACCCTAAACCCCGAACCCTAAATTCTAAACCCTAGGCTTCCCTAAAGCCCCAAAACCCCAAAGCCTAAACCCCTAAACCCTAAACCCTAAACCCCGAACCCTAAATTCTAAACCCTAGGCTTCCCTAAAGCCCCAAAACCCCAAAGCCTAAACCCCTAAACCCTAAACCCTAAACCCCGAACCCTAAATTCTAAACCCTAGGCTTCCCTAAAGCCCCAAAACCCCAAAGCCTAAACCCCTAAACCCTAAACCCTAAACCCCGAACCCTAAATTCTAAACCCTAGGCTTCCCTAAAGCCCCAAAACCCCAAAGCCTAAACCCCTAAACTTCCTGGTGTTTGGTGCTCTCAACTTGGGACCTCCCAGGCTCCCTCTGGGGCCGTCTACCCGGAAACCTTTGATCAGGGTTTAGGGTTCAGGGCTTCCGGGCTTTAGGGTTTAGGGTTTAGGGGTTTAGGGTTTAGGGGCAGATGATGCAGATGAACATCGCGCTCGAGCGCTGCAAGGCTTGGCACATGAATCGGCTCGAGGTCCTGGCGGAGCAAGTCGAGTTCCACCAGGGCTACCGAAAGGCCCGCGCCTTCACGGCCACCGTGATCAAGATGTTCCTGGACCGCCCCGGTTTGGACATCGATCGGGCTCTTGAGGACCTCCGCGGGGATCTCCGGTCCATGTTCGGCGACTCGTCGGAGGGATCTTTCCACACACACTAGACCCTAAGCCGCAAGCCCTAGACCCTAACCTAGACATCCCAAGCCCGAAGCCGTAAACCTTAACCATGAGCTTAGGCCCGCACCCCTAAAGCATGACATAGGAATTGATCTAGGGGCTCCAGCATGGCATGCTGAGGGTATCGAGTTTCGGGGCTTTGCTGTTTGAGAGGACTACAGACTGTAGTTGAAACCAAGTTCGTGTTTGAGGGGATTACATGTGGGTGGTTGTCAAAATTCAGGTCCCTCTGTGGGTACACTAAATAATAGGTGCCGTACTACAATAGGGACCCAAAAAGGGACCCGAATTTTGACAACCACCTATGTGTACATGATTGAGGGCATGTGATTTCAATACTAGAATCATTCGCTTCAGGACTCAATTGCGGAGTTGGGAGAGGTTCCGCCTTGAACTTTGTATGGCAGCTGACCGGACGTGAGCTACTTTAGTTTGCCTGCCAACATGACAGTTCAACCTCCTAAACCTTTCTTGGCGCCCTACAGCTTGATATGTGTATACATCTACACACACACAGAGTTATACTGAGTTATGTGCATATATGTATATATACACCTGCACAAGTCCAAACTGATGATCCAACGTTCACAAGTTCGAGCCCTGCCGTAAGAAGTTTAAAAAAGATTCAGCTCTTCGCCCAGAAGCAGACCATAAGTCCCAAACCCTAAGTCCTAAACGGTTTAGGGTCTACTTGAAGGATCATGGGAGTTAGTAAGTAGGTTATAATTGGGGTTATAAGTCCCCTAAGTGGGGTTATCCTAATTGTAACCTACTTACAACCTTACTTACTAAGTCCCATGAGCCTTCGCGTAAGTCCTAAACGGTTTAGGGTTTAGGGTTTAAACCCCCTAACTCCCCGAAGCCCCTGATTTCCCCTAAACCCTAACGCCCTACAATCCCTAAGCCCGCTAACTCCCCTAAGCCCTTAACTCTCCGAAACCCCTAAAGACCTAAACCTAGGATGCCCAGTAGTTCTCTTATTCCCTTTTTGTAGTCCTAGGTTCCTTATACAGTTACGCAATACCAAAAGGGAGCCTTTTTCATTCTTAGGTTACTGGGCATCCTAGAAACCGTTCGCAGGTGCCAGTGCTACATCCGTGCCGGCGATTTCAGAGGCTGTCTTGCGGAGAATCGGCTTCGGGAAGAAGACAGCCAATATAGAGTAGGGGCCTTACGAATAACCTATACTATTTGGGGGTTCCTTGTTATACTTGTAGTATATAAATATACCACAAAACCCTATTCTAGTTAGTAAGGCCCCTATATTACCCCCCGAATCTCTACTAGCCCAACTAGCCGAGCCCCAAAACCCAAAGCCCTTCAACCTCATACCCGTCATCCCAAACCAGCCCAAAGAAGATTCATACCGCAGCACGACTGTCCCTCAACGCCAACCATCCCAACAATACCCTGGGGTGGAGGCGGAGAGGGCTGAGATAGCATCGCAGATCATAGGGTGACGTTGCGAAACTGCGTTGACATGGTAGCAGCGTTAGTTTCAGGACTCAACCTGAGACTTCATTAATCACCAGATGAAAGTCATGTGCACTTGAGCAGCAACTGCCTGATGTCACCGATCAGAAATACTTCAGCCCGTATCCTATAGGGTTCAAGATTCAGACCCGAAATTCCCACGAATGAATGAGATGAACCCAAGCACATTCCGCGAGCTTTCAACAAGGTTGACTCCTACGATAGACTGCCATGCCACGGCAGCCGCATCAACCTGTACACTCAAGAGACTTAGTATCAGAATCTCGCAAAGCTCAAGTGCTGCTAGACAGCCGACTTTCTCCCAATAGGGCCTAGTAACCGGATTAAGCTCATTCCTTTGTAGCCTCAACGCATAACCCCGAAGCCCAAAAGCCATGAAGCTCTGACTTCAAAGCAAGTTTACACCTTAAGCCTCACTCTGAAACACACGTAAATCTCCGAAGCCCCTTCACGGTGATCTTGCAAACCTTTAACTCTAAGATCTAAGCCTAAGCTTTGGACCCAAAGACCTACCAAGATTGAATTGAACGGAGGCACCTGAACCGGAGCACCGCGGTTCGGAGTCATCCCCGTCGTCCGCTCTTCCACTCGAGATCACGCAGGTCCCGGGTTCAGGGGTTTAGGCTGTAAATGATACTGCGAAATATAGAACGCCTCGACAAGTAGGAATACTATTCCTTAACTGTTCCTGTACATATACTTATAGTGCGGTCTTATCCTAGAGCAAACATTCTCATATGTACAGAGGCCAGTATATGTTTCGGAGTCAAGAGCTCTATGGTTTCAGATGTACGGTTTGGGGTTTAGGTTTCGAAGTTTTTGGATGTACATAGGGCCGGGTTGGTTCAAGATTATCCCACAGGGTCCAAAGTACCTTTATGGTTGAATGTACGGTTTCTATATTAGGAACTACTATTCTGATTTAGGGAACATCCCCCATAACAGTACATAGCCCCAAGGGTCCAAGTAGCCGATAATCATACACTCTCCAAAATCCTAACCTACATAACTACTATCCTAAAACCGAGTACCTAATTATCGGGTGCTTTGGACCCTTAGGGTTAGGGTTATTGATTAAACCTTATAGAACCCTTATAAGACCCTTATAGAACCCTTATGGTACCCTTAAAGGAACCCCTTATAGTAGCCATTATAGTAGCCCCTTATAGACCCCTTTTAAAGGAACCCTAGGAACCCCTGAGGACCCTTGGGGTAGGACCCTTTGGGTATGGAGCTTAGGGCTCCAGGGCTCCGTGGTTTCGAATGTTGAGTGATGAGTGTGCCAAGATTTTCTTGCGTCCTAGTATTAGTAGGATCCTTGTTATAAGGACCCCCAAATAAGGCACCCGTCATTTTCGGAAACTCTAAACTTACTGAGCTAGTGTGTTCTTTGAAAGGCGTCAAGTGTCTGATTCTGGCTATGGCAGGGTTGTCCTCAATACAGACGATACAGATCGGTTTTAGTGGAATCGACGGCACCTACATGACATCCCTCGCCTGGAGAACTTGCCTCAATCGATCTGTCCAACGTACAGGCTCTAGTAAATTATCTAGCAAACTAGCAGGTTGCGACCCCATATCTGTAGGCACACATTCTCAAAAGCAAAAGTGGCCCAAGAGCCAAACTCACAGGATATAACCTGATATAACTCTTGAAACCCGCAACCCCGGGGTTGTTGGGTTTTGCAAGCAGTTGGCCATTGGATCCAAAGGTAGTCTTTATGTAAGCAGTGAAGGTGGTTGACCTTTTTGTTTGCTATTTCAGGAAGTGCACTTCTGAGCTTGTGGCTTGGGGATGGGGGGATCGATTGTTCATGGTCTCTCTAGGGTCTGTAGAGTCTACGGTTGTTGAGGGTTCCGGGTTGTTGTTTTTGTTGTTTGAGGGGCCCAGACCTTCCAAAGCCCCTTAATTAAGGAATATACCTTAAATTATAATAGGGTCCCTAATATGATTTAAGGTATATTCCTTAATTAAGGGATTTTGGAAGGTCTGGGGGGTTGTAGGTCTTCGGGAAACGAAGTACACTGAACCCGATACACGAGACCATAAACCCCAAGCACCCCCGAAGTCGAAACCCTAACAGCCCTAGCGCCGAAACCCGATATCCTAAAGTCTTAAGCCCACATCAATATTCAGAGTCATGGCTGAAGGTGTGCCTACCACCTGCCGAAGATCTGTTTTGACATATCTAGGTGTGCACTTGTATTTACATAGATACTAACACTTACATACATGTATATGTTTATGTATATGTATATGTATATGTATATGTATATGAATATGTATATGTATATGTATATGTATATGTATATGTATATGTATATATATATATAAGTATAAAAATATTGTATATGTATATGTATATGTATATGTATATGTATATGTATATGTATAGGTATAGGTATAGGTATAGGTATAGGTATAGGTATATGTATATGTATATGTATATGTATATGTATATGTATATGTATATGTATGTGTATATGTATATATGTGTATATGTATATATGTGTATATGTATATATGTATATATGATGCAGGGCTGCCACACCCCCCCTCCCCCCCCCACCCCATGGTATCCTCCCCCCTTCCCCCCCGCCCCCCCTGTGGTGTGGGGCCTGTGGTGGTACTCTTTTTGCCACGACGTTCTTATGTGTTACTCCTTGTCTTCCCTCTTGTTGTGGCACCGGTGATACTGCTCATGATGTTGTGCTGCTCTAGACCGGGACATGAGTCGACGATCATACCATGCTCAACATCATCCTTGTCGTCGTCATGTTCATCATTGATACCTTCAAAAGAAGATCTGCCACCATCACCATCGCAATACAACCCTCATAATTCAGCATTGCAATTCACGTCAGATGCCGCTTTCCGCACACGGCAGGGCATAGTGCGACACTCCCGATCCGCGCACAAGGTCCAGGGGCAGGCAAGGTGCGGGCCGGGGGCGGCGGGGCGGGCAGGGCGGGTGGGCGTGCAGCAGCAGGGCTGCAGGGGGTTGGGGGGGGGGGATACCATGGGGGGGGGGGGTGGCGGCCCGGGACCCGAGAGCATATATGTATATATGTACATATGTAAATATGTAAATATGTATATATGTATATATGTATATATGTATATGTATATGTCTATATGATGTATATGTATATGTATATGTATATGTATATATGTATATATGTATATATGTATATATGTATATATGTATATATGCATATATGCATATATGTATATATGTATATATGTAGATATGTATATATGTATATGTATATATATATATATATGTATGTATATGTGTATGTAGATGTATATGTATATGTATATGTATAGGTATAGGTATAGGTATAGGTATAGGTATAGGTATAGGTATGTGTATATGTATGTGTATGTGTATATGTATATGTATATGCATGAACATATATATATATATATATATATATATGTATACATATATATACACACATATATATATATATATATATATATTTATATATATTCATATATATATATATATACATACATACGTTCAGCATCTACCCAAACCCTAACCCTCATTTTGTTCTTCGTCGGCCAGCCAGGCAGCCCGGGCACCGGCAGCCGAAGGTGGGCAGGGAGCAAGTTCAGGATTTAGGGTTTTAGGGTTTTAGGCTTTTAGGGTTTAAGATTTAGGATTTAGGGTTTAGGGCTTGAGGTTTGGGGTTTTAGGGTTTGAGGGTTTGAAGAAGTTGAGGTTAAGGGTTTATAGGGTTTCGGGTTTGAGGTTTACGGTGTTTGAGAAACTTCGTCCTCATGGGTCCACGGTGGAGATGTGAGCAGTTTGATCAAAATAATCACCCCTCAGGATATCCCAATACGATATGCTATATACGCGTACTGTCTCTTGCCAAATATTGCCCAAACTTCACCAACCCTTCCACTTCCACGACCCTACAATACCATTTTTTCCCAAAAAGCTCCTTTTATACCTTGGCTTGAAGGATGTATATGGTTCGGGGTATTTCAGATTCTGAGGCTGTTGCCCCACGTGTAGGGGTGGTGAAAACCAGTCCATAAACCCAGAAGCGCACCTATAAAGTAAAAGCCAGAAAGTTGGAAAATGATTATCCTAAACCCTTTGTGGTAAATTATAGGGTATCCTACCCTGAAACCATATTCCAACTTTCTGGAGTTCCCTTTACAGTAGCAAATCCGTCGTTATCCATGCTCCGATTGATTCGGCCTTCAAGACTCCTAGACCCTAAACCTCAAATGGGAGTTTCCGAAAATGTGGGTACCTGATTTTGGGGTCCTTATAGTAAAGATCCTACTATTTCGGACTTTATATGAGGGTCCCCCGTTTTCGGAAACTCCCAAATCCTAGACTCTAATTAGACCCTACACCTCAAACCCGAAACACCCACCTCGTAGCTAGGGCTGATGATGAAAATCCTGCATGACCTTAAGGACCCTAGACTATGGGAATTATGGTGTATTCCTTATTATGGGTAATGCAGGATTTGTATCCCCAAACCCTAAAACCCTATAGATCCCTTGAAGGAGCCCCTTAAAGGTACCCCTATAGATCCCTTTAAAGGAACCCCCAGGATTTTTATGATCAACAGTAGGAGTTTTAGGTACTCTTTGCAGTCAGAGCCATGGCCAGCTCAAAGAAGCACCGACCCCTAGTTTAGGGTTATAGTACCTTATCATATCCCTTCAAGGAACCCTTTAAAGGAACCTTCCAAACCCGTTGGCTTGGCTTCTTTTAGAGTTCAGGGTAAAGGGCTTAGGGCAAGTTTAGGGTTTTTGGGTTTTAGCGGTCTAGGGTTCTTTTGGAGTTCAGGGTAAAGGGTTTGGGGGTTTCCGAGTAGTAGAGTATCTAACCTTTAACCTTTTTGGGTAGTATAGTCTCTATGTAATCCCTATATAGCCAAGAAGATTAAGCTTTAGTTCCCCATGATACCCGACAAGTAGGGACCTTATTGAGTATGGTTTAAGGTTAGGGTTATACGGTTTAGTGGTTCAGGGGTTTGGGGTTTTGGGGGTTTTGGGGTTTAGGGTTAAGCCCTTGTGCGCAAGACTTGCAATACCCTAGTGTGAGTGGTGCCGGATTCTATGCAGCGGCTTGAACAGTCAGCAATACCCTGCCCTGGGATTCCTTGTCAGTAAATCTCTGCATTGTATGCCCAGACACCAGTTCTATTGTAACGATTACGGACTCTAGGGTGCATGAGAGACCTTTCAATTGACTGGCAGAGGATAAGACCCGAAACCTCGACACACCTTTAACCCTTCTTGAGATGCCCGGGAGCACGTTCAAGATATGCTCAAGGATATATCAGGGGTTTGGGTTTCTGCGTTTAGGGTTCAGGGTTTAAGGGTTTAGGGTTTACCTGTAGCCGAAAAGACCTACCCTTCTAGAGAATATGTGTAGAAACCATAATAAGGACCCCTAAAAAGGTAGGTCTTTTCTGCTACGGGTAAGGGTTCAGGGTTCAAGGCCTAAGGATGAAGGGACTGTGGCAAACTATCCTGCTCAAAGTAGTTTCCTCAAAGCTGCTTAGCTTTGGCCGTCATAGCCGATAGGAGCAGCAACGAAGGTCAGACAGCTGAAGAGGAAAGTTGCTCATACATGCTTGAGGTGTTTATTACGGTGTTTGTTATGGTTTCTGGGTTGCTATAGGAACTGGCAGGGTTTTGTATCATCCTCCATGTTGCGTTCTCGATCTACCTACATGGTCGTGGGATCAGCCAGGAGGTTCCTATGTACCCTCAGACAGCCATGCAATGTGCAGGGATGGTTTAATAACAGACTCGAGTACATGTCTCTGGTGCGGGCCATACAAACATGCCACGGCGGTCGGCCTTCTGCCGCGAGCCTACTTCGAATTTGTTTGCCAGTTCAGGCAGTATAGGCTTACGCAGATAGAACACCCATGTTCATGTGGTTTTATGGTTTCGAGCGAATTAGATAGAGCTCTATAGACCTTTGATTTCTCGGTTGATCGAAGGTTCTGCGTGGTGTTTGTAGGGCTTACAGTTATGATGCTCGTCCTTGCTATCGGAAGACATTCCCCAAAATCCAATAATGAAGGATTAATGAAGGTCAGGAATCAGGGATGTCATCCTACTCCACAGCAACAATGAGGGCGAAATCACGGATGTAATCCAACCCCCCAGGAACATTGAGGGCGAAATCAGGGTACATTTCATCTTCACAGCATGTCTTTTCTCGTTGAAAAAGGGTGGACGTGCGTGTATGCTCGTCCGTGTCCCTATGGAATCATGGCTGTAGTTACTGTATAGTTTCCCAACCCACCGACTGTCCGCTATTTCGAGAGGGGACTTCCTGCGCTGATACTGCCAGGCCACTCCACTTTGCGTATTCCTGTCAAACCAGTCGAAACACCGCCCGAAGTTCGCCCTCCTGTCTGAGAATGGGGCAAATGGCTGCCCTGATTTTGGCCCTGATCTGAAAATGGAGGCAAATGGCTGCCCTGATTTTGCCCTGATTCCTGACCCTGATTTTTCCTCCATTTTCCCTAGGAAAATGAGGGAATAATCAGGGCAGAATCAGGGCAGAATCAGGGCAGGCCCGTTCCAGGAATGAGGGCAGAATCAGGGCAGCGGTTTGGCGGCCCTGCGGGAATCAGGGAAAAATGAGGGCAGCCGCCGTTCTCGTAGTTAGGGCAACATGAGGTCCGCTGTTTCCAGGCTTGGTGTCATGTAGAATCTCAGGCGGTTCGTGCTGTGGCAAGTTCATCTGAATTAATAATATTGGTCCTCAGTTACGTTCAGGTCCACGGACGGGCGTTATTGCCACTCCTACTGCTAGCACTACTCAGATCTTGTGATTACTCCAGTGTTGCAGGGGTCATGGTTGAGCGTACGCAAACACACGGCTCCTGAAAAACCTGCGTTCAAACTGCTGTCGTGCACTCGACGTCCGAGCGAATCGAAGTGAAAAATGCAGGCGCCAATGCCCTCATTTGTCAGCCCTGATTCTGCCAGGGTCTGCCCTGATTCTGGTATATTTGGGATAGCATGCAATGATCCTTATAAGCTTACAGTTTGGACGCCCTAAGCCCTGAATCGTAAGAAGTTCCACTGGAGTTCAGGGAAGTTAGCGTGACGTATTTCCTCCGCTAAGGGCACGTATTCGTGACTCCCCGTTCTGCGCATACGCCATTCACTTCCCGTAGTTGATGAGACAAACTTCTTCCCGGGCGTGTCTGAACATAATGATTAACCTTACAATTAACTAAACTTAACATACCCTAAGGGTCCATGTACTTAAATTATGTACGTTGGCCTTCAGGTACTCCCTATATGGGTACATTGGGCCCAAAGTAGATACTATTTGGGCACATGGACCCTTAGGGATAACACTTTTCGACCCGCAGTCCCTATGAACCCGTATGCACCCTAAGTTCCGGAAATGCCACCTCAGGCCTTATAAGGGAACTCCACAAAGTTGGAATATGGATTAATGGTAGGATCCCCTATAATTTACCTTGAAGGGGTTACGACACTGATATTCCAACTTTCTGGCTTTTACCTTATAAGGGTACGTTCGGTGGATGCTCTGTTGATCAATCCGGAGGGATTCGTAAGATGGGTACGCAGAACTTTGCAGGGCTAAATGCGAGACGGCAGCTAGGGGATTCTAAGTGGTTTGCTATGTCGACAGAGCCTCCAAGTAAGTCCAGCCAGTGCCCACAACGACCACATCCGACACTGACGCCAAACAGGACTCCTAGCGAGCCGAAATTCAGGTTGTGGGGTTCAATCACGTGAAAGAGACCTTCCGAGACATGTCTCAACTCATGAACCGCCGTAGTCCTCCAACATGACCTATAAGCTTTAATTTTGACACCCGGGCAAAACATGTTCTTAAGGGCTTTCCGCAAACTAGCAAGAATCATCTGTGTGGGGATCTTGATGAAAAGACCCCGAACCCTGATCCGTGGCTGTTGATAGACTCAGGCCGTGCCGCTGCCGCGCTCAGCGCCGCAGCTGTTGGCACCGCCCTGGTTCCAACCAGGCTCGTGGTTTCGGAGTCTGGGAATCGATTTGTAGAGTTTAGCTAAACCCTACACCCTAAACCCTAAACCCTAATGTCAGGTGATTTCTGGGGTCCGTTTGTCTGCGATCCATCCGTGAAACTTCTGTCTCTCCTACAGGCTTTGCTTGGCAATTTGCAAGCTTCTGCTGCTGCCGGACCAACTTCAGGTGAAGCATGTGTTTGTGAACTTGGTGCAGTGAGCCTCCAGTCTAAAGTAACTTTTGAGATGCTAGTTCCAAGCACCCATGCACCCCTGAACTTCCATAAACCCATCTGAAGCCCGTTGACCACTGTCGTAGACACGCTCTAGCCATGAGCTATAACAAGTCACAACCCGGTCTCACTATCCATGCAAAAACATATGGGTGGTTGTCAAAATTATGATTCCGTTTTGGGTCCATATTGTGATACGGCACCTCTCAGAGTACCCAAAACCCTGGGCATCAAAACAGCCCAAAAGCCTTATACAGTATGGTCTTTGGGCCCAGGAGCCTTTATATATGAGTCCTTAAATCCCTAGGGAAAAGGGACCTTAATTTTGACAATTACCCCATATACCAACCAGCATAAACTTACCTTCAGGTCCGACAGTCCAACCCTACGTAAACCCCAGGCCCGGCACCTAACCTTATAAACCCTCCCAACGGGTCCAATGTACCGATATAGTAGAATGTAGGGTTTCCATATTAGGAATTACTATTATGACTTAGGGAAGTATCCCCCATAACAGTACAAAGGACCCTTGGGGCCTAAACTCCTAAACCCTGAACTCTAACTAAACCTGGGCAGGCCGCGACCTCCTCCGTTGATCTTCCCGCAGAGGTGGCTCAGTTAATATAGAGGCCTACATCACCACCAATGTTAAAAGCCGTTCAAAACCCTATTCTAATGTAAGAACTATTAACGCCCCTAACGATCTTCCCTTTCCCCCCAGTGTTTCAGTTGTTGGTGGTCTCAGGTGATAAACGACGTCAAAGGAATCCCTACACCCTCAGGGCACCTTAAACCCAACGCCTACCAGCAGCCCAAAACCTTACCGACTCCGAGACCTTAGCCTGGCGTTCTTCTGGTTGGCTCTTAGGACTTTAACTTTCAGGGTTTCTACATGAATGATAGTACCTAGGCTAAAAGTTTAAGTTGTAGGAGACGTCCAGAAGTCAGCCAGGATGGTATTCGACGTCATACCAGGTAACCCTGAGGGTCCATGTACCTAAATAGTATATACATTGGCCTTAAAGTAGTCCCTATATAGGTACATTGGGGCCAAAGTATATACTATTTGGGTACATGGACCCTTAGGGTAAAGGATTCTACCAGTCCAATTTGTTCTTTCAATAGCCAGCTTTATTGCTGGAAACTTACAGTCCTCCCAAAGCAGGGGCAAGCAGCAAAAAGATAGATCCACCATGGAGGCTATGGGTATGGTTTGGGGCTCTCGATAGGCATCCTTTAGGGTTTAGGGTTTGGGGTTTAGAGTTCTGTTCTGACACCCCCATGAGTCACATTTTGGGGGTTCAAATTTTAGGGACACAGGGTTTAGGTTTAAAATATGTTCTGGCGCTCCCATATGCCACCGACCTCGATGAATACCGGCCCGATGTATGTACGTTCATTATCATATTGCCAAGGAACCCAAACTGATTATGTGAGCGGATGCACAAAAAGAACCAAGGAACAAGGATTTTCTTGAACCCGTATAGACGTAGCATACCTTTCTGGAAGATTCTACATGTTGGTCCCTAAGCCCTAAACCTTGCACCCTCTAAGGAGCCCTAAACCCTAAACCCTGAACTCGCAAGCACTCGAAACTCTAAACGGGACGCCTGCAAATGATTGGTGGACTCCGAAATGAAATGGCCGATGCAGCTCCCGTGGGCCCATCTAGGGTTCATGGGACTTAGTTTAGGGTTGAGGTTGAGGGCTTGGTAACCGGGATTATATATAAGGTAACCTATGCTGCTAAAGCAAAACTGATTTAAGAAGAACTAAGGTGCCTGTAACTGTACTTACTACGTCCCGTGAACCTCCAAGTAGGGCTGAGGGTTTGAAATACGCATCTTCAAGCTGTCCTTCATCCGTTTTGAGAAGGTCTAGAAGACCTGGTGATAAGGGGTCCGTGAACCCCAGTACACCTACAAGCGGAAAACTCGCAAAGCTCTTCCGTCCCCACACTCTACCTTTTAGGGCTCCTTATTAAAATAGATAATTCAGGTTGTTCGGGGTTACAGTAAACTGGTAAACCTTATAAACCTTTTCTGCAGAGTATCACGGCAAAGCAGGACCACTTCCTGCGAGGGGGCTGTAGTGTGGCTGCACGGCTTCGCGGACAAACCGGCAGGTTCGCCGGGTGATCTTTCTGAGGTCTCCTTGTCAGGGTCTAGGGCTTGGCTAAGTTTATCTAGGGGTTTTAGGGTTTGATTGGGGTTTCTAGGGTTTAAACAGGGGTGTAGCGTTTGATGAGGGGATTAGGCTTCTGTCAGGGTTTAGAGCTTTATCGGGGACTCAGGATTCCGGGTTGATGGCCTCCCCAAGTTGCAGGGCTTTTAGGGAAGTTTAGGGCTTCTGCATGGAATCTATAAGGGCTTGAGGGTTCTAGGGTTGCGTTTTGTAATTGGTTAAGCCCTATATAAGCCCTAAACCCAAAGCCCTATGCCGTAAACCCGAATTCTAGTCGGTTCCCCGGTTCAGAATGTGCGCAAGCTAATTCTGCACCGTTGCCACGTCCCCGGGGAACCTCAAGGCGGCCCGCCTCGCACAAACACTAACCAATCCTCAGGTAACTGCCACAAAGGGTTTAGGGTTTAGGGTTCCTTCAAGGATTCCTTTAAGGGCTCCTTAAGGGTTGAGGGTTCCTTTACTCGGTTCCTGAGTAGTAACCTTTTGCACTTTTCAGTTTAGGGGCCCCCTTATTAAACCGAGTAGTAGGAAAAAGGGTACCCTTATCCTCTTCTAGGTTCCTGAGTAATTAGTAACCTTTTTGCCCTTTTCATTCCAGGGCCCCCTTTTTCAACCGAGTAGTAGGAAAAAGGGTACCCTAATTATTATGAAGGGGCTACTCAGTCTTTCAGTTAATCTGTTACCGCAGAATCCCACGCTGTCTCTGGATCTGAGAACCTTCCCTACACCCATAGGAGGCCAAAGGGGGTTTTAGCCTATGGGGGTTTAGTAGGGATTGGGGTTCCCATAATAGGGATCATATTAAGGAATCCCGACCCCAAGAATCTTAAACCCCCCTTTTGGCCTCCCATCATACACCCTATAAAGCCTTCCCAAGCTCCTAGACAGGTTCCGTGAAGGTTTCCTCTTAGGGTTTCTTTAAGAGTTCCTTCCAATGGGTTCCTTTAAGAGTTCGGTTTTCTTGAGGGTTCCTTTAAGAGTTCCTTTAAGAGTTCACTCTCAAGAGTTCCTTTCTAGAGCTCCTTTCAAGGATTCCTCTGGTTTCAAGGATTCCTCTGGTTCCTTTAAGAGTTCCTTTCAAGGGTCCCTTCGGAGGCTGGGCGAAGCTTCTTGCCGGCGAGCGCCATCGGCGGCCGAGCTGGCGATGGTGCACTAGCTGCAGACCACGACGCCCAACAAATCCTCAATCCACTTTACCCCAACGGTCCGTGTATTTATATGGTATATTCGTATGGAGAGGCACTCGAGGACTAGGCTCCGCAATTTCCTTTCGTGATTTGGGGTTCAGGAGTTTGCCCCTTAACAGGCTGAGGGGTTTCGAGATTTGTCGGAGGGGTTTAGGCGATGTGGGTAGTTGTCAAAAATGATGGTTCCTTTTTGGGTCCTTAATATAGTACGGCACCTAATATTTAGGGTACCCAAAAAGGGGCCCTAATCTTGACAGCCACCCATGTGTATTGAGGGGTTTAGCTTTGTGCTTCGGCTCTGGGATGCAACCCACAGAATCCAGTAGAGTACCCGAATTCAATTCAGGAGTAGTTCTTGAACTATAGTACCTATAGAGGGAGCGCGAACTCTAATTTCCTCAACCCTAAACCCCTAACCCCTAAACCCCACTTGGAGGTCCGATGGGTAGTTATAAGTGGGGTTATAGGTCCCCTAACATAGGTCATAAGTATACTTACCCAACTTATAACCCTACTTCTAACTACTGGTACCCGTGAACCTCCAAGTATACCCCAAACTCATATATATGGGTGGTTGTCAAAATTAGGGTCCCTTTTTGGGTCCCGATTATAGTACGGCACCTCATATTTAGGTTACCCCCAAAAGGGACCAACATTTTGACAACCGCCCAAATGCTTAAACGGGTATTTGGCTCTTTGATCTTCCTTGCGCAGGTTATTGGTTTCGAGTTTTTCTAAAGATCCTTGTAGGGTTTAGTGTTTAGGGGTTTAGGGCACTAGCCTCTGCGAGCCCAGAAATCCGATCCCGCCAAACCGTGTCGATGACTGACCATAACGCGCCCTAAATCATAATCCAGTCAAAGCGGAGGCACCACCTGCGAGCGCCTCGCCTTCCCCAGCCGTGTTTCAGAGGCCTGGAGAACTCCAAACCCCAAAAACTTTGGAAGGAAGCACTCTTGCTAGAAACCATACAGATGATGTGGATAATGAGTATGGCTTGCTTAAATTGGTATTAAGGATCGTCTTGCAAGCCCACATTTCACGTCGTTTTAGCTCAGTAGGGACCCCGCATTACAATAGCCGAAACCCTAAACTCTAAACCCTAACCCTGTTCTGGTGTAGGGCACAATTCTGAATCATTGGGCAGCTCTCCTAGTTGATTCCTCAGCTGCGGCTGTATTCACTAAGGGTTCAGGGTAGGGTTTAGGGTTATGGGTGACCTTGTTGGCTGTGTGTGGCCAACTTCGCACAGTCCCGATGCACGACAACTTCCGTCTAGCTTCTGAACTCGTAAATCGAAAAAAATCTCACCTGGTGGAAAGCCCATATTTTCGACGAGAGACCCCATAACCCTGACATGAGACTCCCCAGACCCAAAACCGGGCTGAAATCCCTGCAAGTCTCATTCTTTAGCTCGAACCCCCCAAAGTAGTTCCTTTTTAAGAATACCGAATAGGATTGTATATATGAACCCCAAAAAGGAACTAGTTTGGGACCTTAGGGTAGCTTGAAGCCCTCACAAACTTATCCAGGCCAACGCATGCCAGCTTGGGGCGATTTCTTGTCGGTCCTTCCCTGAGCTTGTTCATCTTTCTTAGAAGCTGCCCCCACCCTGTGATAGTGGTATAATAGGAATATAGTAGGGCCCTACTATAATCCTTATAGTCACTATTACAGGGTGGGGGCCCCTTCTAACCTAAAACCCTAAACTCTATAAACCCTAAACCCTAAAACCCTAAACCCTAAAACCCTAAACTCTATACCCAGAGGCCCCAAAGTACTTCTAGCATCTGTCGGTGTTCTTTTGGAATTTGGGCTTCAGACTCTTTGCGTTCTTTGTGGATTCGGGTGTGGGGTCCTCGGCCTGATACTTCGGGTTCTAGGGACCCGCCCTAATGTATATGGGAGTTTCCGAAAATTAGGGGTACCTCATTTTGGGGCCCTTATAATAAGGGTCCTACTATTTCGGGTACTATCTTAGGGTCCGAAGCCCTCCTGACTCAACTCCTAAACCGCAAACCTTAGACGTCTCTCTGACAGGGATCGTCACTGCGTCAGGGTGCCGTGTACCTGGGCTCCAACCTTGGTACGACCCTTGAGCCCATCGAGGATTTAGGGGTTTAGGGTTTAGGGTTTATGGGCTTTAGGGTATCGGTTGAATTCCAGGAGAGACCTGGAGAACGTTGGAACTCCCGAAGGGTTCAACTTCGATGGGCTCAAAGGCT